GGAAGCGATGGACATCTCTCTGAAACGTGTGTTGGGTAGTTTTGGTTTGCTGTTGGTGGCCAGGTTTGGTGTGAGCCTTGGAGTGAAAACTGACAACACATGTTTTTAGTGAGGCTCCGATCAGTTGAGGAGAGCGTCGTTGGGTTATCGGTGTAACTTTGGGCTGTGCCGCGTGCAGTGTATTCTGACGATACCGAAAAGTAAGAGTTTGGTCGATCGGGGAGTGAAGGAGGAGCTGACTCACTCGGCCTTAGCCCGGGCCGACCGCTGACGGCTCGGTGCAGGGGTCTTATCCGCAGAGATAAACTCGTTCGTGGAAGCTCTTTCACCCAATACAATACTGTGTGTCAGGCATGACCCACGGCACCGCGCCCTTTTTAGCCGTCTGCGTCGCCTGGCAACACTGAAAATCCAGTCGAAAAGTTCCTAACTAGCTCAGGTTGGGGAACGACCCTCCGACCCCCTCGCGTTGATGTGCCTGTCTGTTTGAGAAGTGGTAGTTTGTCGGCGCTTTTTAATTATGCTATCAAGTGTGCCTGGTTACTGGGTCTAAACGTTTCTAAATAAACGAATTGTGGACGTTATGAGGCTACAACAGCGTTTACGAAGTCATTTAAACCTCATTTCTGCTAGTTAGGTGATAGTGGTTTCTCGTAAGATCCAATAAGTGGACTCACTTTAGACAAATTGTACCAATTACAAAGCTGGCATGGTACAGCGTTCGCCGCCCTCCTTTATCGATACACGAATCCAGACGACGGAAAATAGTTCCTGAGCTCAACCATCAATCATTTCGGTGACGACGCCATAAACGCGATAGAGAGGCTCTAATAATATATAGCGCGGTCGCGTATCATCACAGTAAGTCGTGTTCAAACAGGCCCCGGTGTCCCTGTTGACCCGCGCCGCTGGTCGGTCACCACAAAGGCCGATATTCGGACGTTGACCTCGACCCTCGTGGGTACGCATTGCACTCTCACTCGTCACCAATGGTCATTTATGCAAGGAACTGCTAATCGTCGGGTCGAGATCTGTCCTAAGAAAACATTTTTACATATTGATATATACAGTCAAACCTATTCATATTTGAACTGAGATTGCATGCTTTTATTGATATTCTGCAGGGTGAAAGAGTGACTGCGAAGTGTCAGAGCTGGTTGGCTGCGTCATCCCTCAATACGGGGACATGTTCCCCGTGACCCGCGTTGCTCTCGCCACCTTTGCCTATCTTGGTTTTTGTTTCCTGACCAGCATATCAAACATTTTGCCTACTATTAAAAATCTCAAATCGCATTTACAGCAGCAAAGAATGAGAAAATATGTTATGACCGAAATTTAATCTTTTTTAAACTAGTTAGTTACCAAGCAGTCTCAAGCCGAGCCTCTCTGGGTATCGGTTCAGTGTTCTGATTCCCAAGCTGTCACCACCGACCCACACGACTGGGTGGTCCTGCGGCGGCCGATATCACCGTCTAACGACCCTCACACCAGAAGGCCCTCCCAGCTGCCGCCCGTGCCGCGTCATTGCCTCCAGAGCACGTGGTGTGGTGCCTCTGGTGGCGGCACTAAACGGAAAATAAAAACGGCCGTAAACTGCAGCAAAATGACATAAATTGGTCATCACAACGAAATACCAAATCTTATAGTGTTAGTTCGCCCATAGGAGTTAATCCCGTAACAAATTATGGAACAGATGCGTTAAAATGAACATTGCTTTAATTATATGTCAAGCTGTATCCTGCATGTTTTATGCAAATATAAATACCTGGCGATAGGCGTATTCCGCCAGCTTGCATTCGAGCATAGTCAGGCATTCGTTGGTCATCTACGTTGCGAAAACAAGGGTGACTTTATTCGCCAATATTAAAAGCAAATGCACTTCTTTACTCCCTTTCAACCGTGGAAATGTGTCGTGGGACAACACTAACTCAATTATTTTCCCATTATATGCTCTTGCATCAAGGCATTGTTCAGTATAACAGCTTTAGCGTTGACAAGCGCCAGTGGTACTTTGTTTCCATGGCAATGTAGCCTGAGCCAATGAAGCTAAAATCGACAAAAGTACTCTGACGTCATATGCTGGGAAAATGCCCAATAAACATCGTGGACAAGCTTGCGTTTCGTCGACGTCAAGTGGGGTGGGTATGTCAGTGCATTACGTGCGTCATAGCTGCGCCATTATTGTCTCGCGTTCCACAGTTTTGCCTTCTGTCTCTCGGTACTCTGCAGGTCTTGGGCGCTTCTGTCCACCTTTCCACGCCTGTGCATTTGCCAGTCGCGCCATGTATATTGGTCATTTATGTCGCTGATCTGAGCAGGGTCATCTTCATCTTCGGACATCGTCGCTTCGCTCCCGTCTGTCGCCGATTTCCATTTTCCTGTCATGGTCCCAGCTGCCATCGCCTCGCCAACCCAACTGTCCTGCGGAGGGTCTGTACACCTGACTGCACCTGGGCCGAGATAATGGCTGGTGCCTGGTCGCCTGGTCACTCATAGTGTACCACGAATCAATGGCTCCCGTGTTGAAATAATCAAATTTGAATATGTCAAATAAAATGTGTCGTCGTCGTCGCCCCATGTCCGTCAGTCGGCTTTTGGAAGTAACAGAAAGAGCTGGCGACGACCATCTCCCCTCGCGACTGACACTCAGGATGTCTGTTGGCAACTTTAGGTAGGTGTGCTGTGAATTTTATTTTCCTGTCGCTGCCCGGTGTCACCTTGACACCGTCGTCTGGGCATTGCATTTCAGTATCGCTGTCAGAAATAGCAACCAGGAGGTGCACGGCCCGCTCTTATTTCCCTCATCGACCATCTGTTCACCCATTCCGATGTGATGAGTCTGAGGAGTCCAGAGCATTTTGGTCTGGAGGGACCTCCTGGGGACGGATCTCTCCTCGCTCAGATAGGGGGGAGGCGATCCCCATCAGCTCTCCAGCTCTGTCGGCAGACTGGCCGCCGACCCGTGACTAATTCCATAATGAGCTCAGCTCGCTGAGCCAGGGGCCCAGATGGAAGCACACGTGGCGACAGGAATGTCGTGGCGGCCACCCGCCCCGCGCGCTGTGGCGTGCGGGACTCCTAAACTATCCAAGGTTTTTGTCCCAATCTACCGAGCTTATCTCAAGAATGTCATCAAGAATGCCTTGGAACTGGAAGTTTCGGCGTCACCGTCTATATCCTACAAGTACACATGGCGCTGATGACCGCCGTGTCTGCTACTGTTGTGCGAGACTTCCCAGTAATATCCATTTCCCAGAGCTGTCTACATATTCTGCTTGGGGCCCGATTTCCTCTCGGCATGCGGGACACGTTAGTTGGTTGTAACCGGTCACTGGTTAGCTGATTCCACTCTGAATGCAGGAGACACAGGTCGGTCGGTCACCGGTCCATCAGCGGCTGGATCAAAATGTCAGCTCCGTATAACCAGGCCTGTCAGCGGCATGTCGTTGTCCAGGCATATTGTCATGCCGCCCAAACTGTTACCCGACTTGTGGCAAAGGTATGTGGCATAATATTCTTATCAGCAGCGGTTATAGGAGTGCTATATCAGCTGACGACGCTTGGGTCAAACTGTCGGATTCCTTATAGCTGGATCGAATTCTCGGCTGACGACCGCGTCATGCAAAACGTTGGAGCTAGCTGCCGGTTGACAGTGGGACCGAACTGGACATCCCTTTGCGTGACGGGCACACCGAAATGGCCCTGCCGGGGCGCGGGCGGGCAGCTGTCATGTGGGCGGCCGGACTGTCAGTGACGGCCGTGCCGGACAGGTGGGGGCGGACGGTGGTCACTGTCACTTGTGATGGGTCTCACGGGGTCATCGTCGCGCTGGCGACTCTCGGCCCGCACTGGTGGTCAGCGAAGCCAGGCCGCGCTGACTCAACCTGGTATGATTTTTACAGGACCAGGCTAGGCTAAGTATGCCTGGGCTGGGCTTTACTGAAAGATATGTTGGGGACCGGGACTTTGGTCTGTTCTATGAATCGTTTTGGTCCCCGTGGACCGGACCAGTGAACCCCAGTCCATGACGGTCTGCTGGTCCGGCCCATTATGGTCCACTGGTCCTGCCCATTGTAGTTCGTTGCATGTCGACAGCTGCGGTAAGCCGATGTGAGCACTGAGCAGACAGATTTACACCGCGCCTCGTGGGCGGCTTTCGTGGCCGCGTGGGCGACTCTCGTGGCCGCGTGGGCGGCTCCGTGGGCGTGTGGGCGACTTTCGTGGCCGCGTGGGCGTTGGCGTTATGGGCGTCAGTCGCGTTGCTCCGCAGTCAGACCGGCCATTCGGAGAGATGGTTTGTTGACGCCCGCCGGTTATATCAGTGCGGGCACACTCGACTGTCTGTGTGGAATTAGAGACCGGGCCGGGTCGGGGGAGGCTAGAGCGATGAGAGGAGTCTGGCTACGTTGGATAGTGGTAGGTGAGTCTGGCGGGGCTAGTTTCTGATGCGGTTTTCCCTTGATTGACTAGAATCGTATAATACTTGTGTAGAGAGCTGCCAGCTGGTGATCACGGATGATAGGTATATCTGGTATTTTTCAGCAATGTCTGATGAAGCCCAAACCCGTGCAGACTTCGTTCTTGATCCTCTTCAATGTCGACATCCTTGTTAACAGACCTTGATGGCCCGCTAAACTCCATATTTCTGTGTCCCGCTGTGCTGTCTCCGCGTCTGAGCCGCGTGGCCCTATGTTACGAAACACGTTTCTCTGGCTCTGATCGCGTGTGTGCATCTGGCATCTCACTACTTGGTCCTCAGCCATCTCACCACTTGGTCCTCTCCGAACACTTATCCTCTGACGCACTTTACCTCTGGCGCCTTATCCCTCTGACGCACTTTCCCTCTGGCGCCTTATCCCTCTGACGCACTTTTCCTCTGGCGCCTTATCCCTCTGGCGCCTTTTCACTTTCCCTCTGGCGCCTTTTCACTTTCCCTCTGGCGCCTTATCCCTCTGACGCACTTGCCCTCTTCTGACCTCCCTGCGTCTGTCTCCCCACAGATGCCGCGGCTGGAGATAAAGCTGGCACAGCAGCTGCCGGTGACGGGATGCGTGATCGCCTGTCGCTTCCCCCTACCCACCTGGAGACCTTCGTACGTGATCGGCGAGGGGGCAGACGCCGTCTGGGTCTACTTCCGACCGGGTATGGAGGACGAGGAGCTTCCACCTTCGCCCCCACCGCCGGGTAGGGAGAGGTAGCCGGGTGGGGTGATGGGTGTTTGTATCGCTGCCGGTTCTTAGAGCGGATGTAGGGTAGTGTGGTGCGACTGAAGTCTAGTCGAGAGTCGGTATACGAGGTGTGGCTAAAAAGAAACCGGACTGCTCGTGCTGGGCATAAAGTAGGGGGCCGAAGACTAGCGAGACACTTGACATTAATCTTTATCATATTGTGGTGATGTGTGCCAAATGGCATCTCGATATCGCTATTATTCTTCTTTCCACAGATCTTTGTTTTATCGATGTTCGGCGGCCTTGTCACCGCCAGGTTTCTACAATGAGCTTCGAAAAAAAGAAGGAACATGACGTTCCTTGCCAGACTCAACAGAGACGCTGAATCTGTTCAAGGCTTTAATGTTATGTTTGGTCATATGTCACATGCAAGTGTTTGAAAGGGTTACGAGGTTCAGCACTGGTCGTGAGGATGTCGGTGATGACCCCAAGGTCTGGAGGTCCATCAACGTTCGCGCGCATGTCGAAGTCGAGGGTGGAGACGAAATTGATCGTCTTTTTCGATCATAGGGGATTCGTTCACCGTCAGTTCGTGCTGGAGGTGTACCACAGTCGACCAGCATTTCTACAAGGAAGACCCGGGACGCCTCATTTCACGAGTCAGGCGCACCAAGTGGAATTTCTGGGAAGCCAAGATCTGGGTGCTCCATCACGACAACGCTCCCGTGCATTCTGCCATTAGCGTCAAATCGTTCTTTGCCAAAAAGCAGGTCGCGGTGCTCAAGTACCCTCTTATTTGTCAGACCTACCTCCCTGTGACTTTTGGCTGTTCCTTTAAATGAAAAAGGTTGTCAAGGGAACCCATTTTGAATCGGTCGAGGACATCCAGACCAGAGTGACCAGCGTCAGCGTCTTCGATAAAACAAAGAGCCGTGGAAAGGAGAATAATAGTGATATCGAGATGCCGTTTGGCACACATCACGACAATATGATAAATATTAATGTCAAGTGTGTCGCTAGTTTTCGGGCCCCCTACTTTATGGCCAGCACGAGCAGTCCGGTTTCTTTTTAGCCACACCTCGTATGCTGTCAGTGCGAACTTGTGAATGGTCAGCTCTACGGAGGATGATAGAGATTTTGATGGGTATGTTTTTGGGTCGAGATTTGAGTGATTCAGGTGCGGGAAGAGTTGGTGGTACTGATTTCGGAAGTTGCTGTTAATGTGCTGATGTTGACGAACTGATGTGACAATACATTTAAAGGCTTATTTTGTCAGTGCATCTTCATACCAGTCTCAACCCATTCAACTTCTATTGACGTTGGCATTGCCTTGTTTCTGGCTGGTAGCCAGAGCACTTTTTGTTTTTGTTTTTATCGGTGATGAATCTTGCGAATCTTGCGTAAGTTTGCAAGAAAGCATCTTAAAGACACAAGGGAAGGCTTGTCATTCCGACAAATGTTTTGACTTCTAAGCAACATCCAACGCCATCCCTTTCCACTCTGTTTAAACCTTTACGTTACGTGCACGTTGTTAGTATCGTAGGCATCGCTTTCCTGATTCTAGGGAGAACAATTTAAGCCATGCAGTCGGTGCGCTTGTAATTTCCCTGGGGAAGTTAATCACACTACTAAATGGGGCCAGCGCAGCATGACTTGTTTGCAAGAAAAACTGAACTACCTACCGGGTGGGTGCCACCATCTATTTGAGATGAAAGCATCCCGACGCAGGCTCTCGCACATTTAGAATGAGCTTTTCATTTTTGTTTGACGCATTTTTGGTGCGTGGCCGCACTCTTGTAAGTGGGATTTTCTTGGCGTCGGCTAACTTTCTGGAGCCTGTCATTAGAGCCGGCTGATGAACGGGCCCAAGCGCTGGAGATTGCGAGGGCGGCCAACGTTCAACGCGAATATTATTCAGCCAAAACGCTCTCTTTGAGCGGAGTTTTGCCGCATTGTGTGAGCTGGCGGAGAAGTGCGATGTAAAACAAGAATTTTAAGGGCGAAGAACTGTTCTAAAGATTTTGAGCATGGTTTCGCTAAATTTCATTTTTGGAGACTAGTGTTCAAAAAAAGAATATTAAATGGTTATGATCCTCCCAACCCATCTTACCAGCCACGTTCCTGATGCTGCTTCGGGTGACTTCCTCCGTCGTGACCAGCTCTGAGAGGCCCACGCGAGCTCCCGGTGCGTGGCGTTTGACTGGCGTGTGCGGTCGATTCGTGGTGTGACACCACACGCGCGCCTGAGCCGAGCTGCCTGGCAAGCCATCAGGTGGATTGGCCGCTGTGCGCCGCACGGTTTTCTAGATGCGGTGCAACCATCCATCATGTGGTTGCGACAGCCGCCACCAAGATTGGTACGGAGCGCAGCTGGCGAGGGCGAGACCGGTCAAACGCTGCCTCAGTGGTTTCTGAGGCTGCTCGTGGTTTGGTACTTACAACCGGGTCGAAGGCTGTTCCTGAACAGCTTCGCGGGACTGTTTTGGCCCCGACAGTTGCTTAAAAGATATCACAAATAAGCCTGGGTAACTTGGAATGAGGCTTCAGTCAGCTCTCTAAGCACTATCATCATTGCAATGCGATAGTGGGCCATCTTAAGGATGATGCAGAATTCTTAGATGTTTCACTATGTATACCAGGCTTTCTATTCACCGAGGAGTTTGAACCTGGTAGTTGATTAAAATTAAGTTCCTGATGACAACTGTTCGCTGAGGAGCTTTTCCTATTCGTTTGCCAACACATTTCTCCAACTGGTCAGCCGGGCTTCAAACACAAACTATAAAGGGAAAACTACATTTGTAAGGAAGTAAAATTGACCAGTAACCGGCATACGCGAGGGTAGTTGGGCACTTTGGCCCAGCGACACCATTGGTGTACCCTGACCGGGGCAAATGCGAACCCGCATCCGCTGTAGCGCCGTACAAAATGTAAACGGCACCTAAGAAGCTACCGGCGAACCCGGTCGATATGACTTTGGAGAGGGAATGCGCGCTTCTGCCTAGACGCATCCTCAAGATCGTTGCAGCGGCTCGTCGTTGACGGGAAGGTGCTGGGGTAGCTGATAATGGCCAACAAAGCCCTTACAAAGGATAATGAACGCTTTCAGCAGCATCCGAATGCTGGTTTGTGCTTAATTTCCAGGAATCTATTCAAACACGTTGTTGAAATGTAAAGCGTCAGAGGCAGTCAGATATATTGACTTCCCGTTGTATTAACATGTGAAAGGTATAGTGTTCTGTTTGTGCGCTTGAAGTGTTCCCCCTTGCAATGGCAGCGCTTGTAGTAGGTAGAGGTTGGTATGTTGTATTTAAATCCATAGGGTCTATGTTAGGATCAACCTTGGCTGAAATGATCGAATAAGAATCGAAAGCTTTTCTTCACTCCAGCACTACCAAACTTACGCCTGCTGACGAACTCACATGCGTCGCCCAATCACAAGCTCGTGCATAGCTACATATAAAACAGTTTTGCTCTGACGAGAAACATTTTGTGAAAAAGACCAGTGATTGGTGATGAAAACGGGACGTGAGATGCAAAAAAAAAATGGATTGAAAGACGGAAGAAGAAAACAACTAGGTATTGTAATTGCTGTTTCTCATGGTTCCTTGTGGAAATGACCCAAACACTGCACTTTTTAGCGCATGTTCCAGTCATTACTTTCTTCATATTGGAATATTAAATAGGTTAAAAAGCAATATACCTATTCATGCTACCTGCATCCTGCATTTTCCTGTTCTTAGCAGCCTGTGAAATGTTGTTCGGTAGTGCCCGCTTTGAGTCGTTTTCCTTGGCAGCCCCCAGACGGAGTACGGTGGACTTATTACGGTCGGCAGGCAGCAACTCGTTCTCATTAGGTGCGCGACATTAACCTTATTGGCTGAGAAACCGGAGCACTAATGACGCTACGAACCGATCTTGATTGAAATGGTAAATTACCGGAAAGCGCACGGCGTGAGAGCTAGATCGCAACACAAGGACTGAGAGCGGCGACAGAGCCAATAAACAGCAACACTCGGCGCATCTCCCGGCTGTCGCCCCTCTCCGCTCTCTGCCCGATGCTCTGTCGTCTCTCCTCCCCTGCTCTGTGCCCATCTCATTCCGACCAAGGTAGCGCACATACGTGTGACAATCTCCATCGGCCTGGGGCCGTCGGTCCGCCGCCACGGACGGCGCCGGTCTCTTGACCGACGTCTGCAGCTCAAGTGGTCAATCTGGCGCCGCTATGCCCTCGGGGTCTGGCCGGGACGACAGCAGCGGAGGCGGCGCGTCGACATTTCGCCGCCGGCGCCACTATTGTCTCCCTGTGGCGCCCGGGGACGCTCCGCCGCCGCCCGGCGACGACGAAAACTGGAGCGGAGTGGCCAGTAGCGCGGCCCGCTGGAGCGGCAGCCCCGCTGCATTTCAATGAGCCCCCGGCCCTGATTTCATTTAGCTCGAGATGGAGCCAACTATTTTTGTCTCGCTTCTCTCCCGCCTTCTTCCTCCCTTGGTAAGTGCACTTGTTTGTGGTTTCCGTTTGCAAAGTGGGACGACAAACTCGCTTTGGAGTTATGGCCGACTTGAAATGGAACAGTTTTGTAGCTGCTTAAAGAGACAGTCGCATTATGTCGCCGGTTGAACACAAAAACAAAGCATTAGCATTTACATGTACTTCAAAAAGTCTTTTCAAACAACTTGTGGACGCTTACTCAAGAAAGCGGTAAACCAATAAGCAGTACGTCAACCCACAGCTATAATACAGTGGTTGAAAAGTGTTGGTGCACGAAGAGCGGGCGTATAAAGCATAACGCAGGTAGCATGTAAGTGTAGCGAGACTAGAAACATCATGGCTATAACTCATGCGACTAGAGCGCACCTGTCTACGGTATAGAATGTGTCCACACAACCTGAAGATAGTGAATACCTACGTGTATCCAATTTGTGCCGTACCAGGAGGATTCGTGAGCGAGTGTGCTGTTTCAAGGAAAACGCTACAGCTCGCACACAATGACTCTGAAAAGGTGGACAACATGAACGTTGAGCATCAAAAGACGGGCTGACTACTATATACAGGTACCCCGTCGTTTCAATTAACAAGGTTTTGTAAAGGACGGGGCGCTGAGGGGAGCAGTCAGAAGCTGCAAAGACGGATGAATAACAGCGCCGTCAAAACCATTGTCACTTGCATCCTACCAGAAAATCCAACAACCCACCTCATTAATCCGCATGCACAATTCATTGGCGCTTGCATTGCTCTCCACCCGGTATCATTAGTATAATGATACCACGATAAGGACGATATACACTGGCAGAACAAAAAATCACCCTCCCTTTTTCTCCTCAGGTCACATTCTTCAATGCACCCCTGTTGATCACATGTGCGGCCGTTGTGGCGTATTCGGTCGTCTCACCGCGCGCGGTGGGCCGTCGGTCGCGGTGTCGCCCAACTCCTAGCGACTGTTTCCCACCTCCACACGACCGGCATCGATCCCTAGCGGTGATGAAAGCCAGCCGGGCTGCCGGCACGACGGCGGACGGCCGGCCCACCGGCGCCGCGGCGACCGCGACCCGGTCGGCCCCTCATGGATCCGCCCCAGGTCCGAGCTGTGGCTGCCCTAACTCGAATACAATCAAGATTGAAGCCAGAACTGACCCAGATACTCGACCGAGCTGACCCAGTTTTTGGTCGTTCCCGGTCTATATTCGTCTCAAATGCAGCTCGGACCTAGGCGGATCCACAAGGCACCCATGTCGGCTTTGTGCGACTGCCGATCTCGGCGCTCTCCGCCGCCGAGCCGCCGGCCACTGCACCGCACACCCGACGCCATTTGAGCGGACATTTGGAATATATCACTGTAGTTGCCGTATCACTGGCCAGCGGCGCCGTAGATCCTCCGTGGATCGCGGGCGGTCGCCGGAGCTGTCCAGTCCGTCAGTCCTGGCTCCCAGTCCGTCCATCAGTCCGGGTCACACATTCTCATTCTGTGGGCGTGGTGCGTGGGTTTGGTGTCCTCTGACGGTCCACTCTCCCCATCCTCCGCCCCCGCTCTCTGATACCCTCTGAGAGCACCGGTCCAGCTGACACCCATCGCGCCGTTCCCAGCTCGCACTGCGTCGTCCGCTCAGCCGTCTGCCCCCAATATCCGCACTGGTGTGTTCAACGTCCCGAGGTCCACGGACACACTCTGCCATCTCTCCAGCTCAGCGAGTTCATGGATCTCACCAGCCGCTTGATCATACACCCAGCACTTTGTGAAACCCCAATCACAAGTTTCCTGTTCAGAAATCTCACTAGTTCGCAGTCTTTTTGTGCAGCAGTGTCGCTGTCCGTCGTGCTAGACGGAGATTCGCGAGCCGGTGATGTTGTTCAGACTGGTTTCTGAGGAGTCTGCTGCCAGTATGTCCTCGGCCGTCTGCGTATGGCTGATGGTCTCCATCGCTATGGTGTGCGGTAGTAGGTGCGATATTCGTCCGGGACGCCGCTTCACAGTGTACCTGACGAGAGAGCAGTGAACGGTTAGTTCAGGGACTGAATGTAAGAGGGGAGGTGCAGGAGATACACAGATAGTCAGGGAGAGGGGCCAGGGGGAAAGGGACTCGAGAGGTGGGCAAATAGTGACAAGAGGGATAGGGTGAAAGAGACCCAGCAGATAACAAGAAAATCTGTTGGGGAGTGTGCGAGAGAGAGAGAGAGAGAGAGAGAGAGAGAGAGAGAGAGAGAGAGAGAGAGAGAGAGAGAGAGAGAGAGAGAGAGAGAGAGAGAGAGAGCGAGAGAGAGAGGCAGAGGCAGAGGCAGAGGAAGAGGCAGAGAGGAGAGACAAAGAGAGAAGGGAGGGAAAATACGGAGGAAGGAGGGAGAGAGAGAGAGAAAAAAGAGGGGAAGGCGGGAGCTGAGTGAATATATTTGGTATTTCAGGGTTGCACCTGGCTTGAATGAAATCAGTCAATCAAATGGAGCATGCAACATTCAAAGAAAAGAATTTCCTACAATGAAAAATAACCGAGCCTTCGCGTCATCACCATCGAAATTCGAAGGCAAACACATTTCCGATATTCCGACCCGTATCAAATCCAGGAAGTCCCAAATCAGCGTCAGCCTCGGCAGCTGAGCCTCGGGTGGCGGAAGGATTTGGATCGTTCGGATATTTCCGACCAGACACATCGACAGAGGCAAAACCCAGCGGCAGTCTCCTGACAAATATTCGACTTTGCGCCGAGGTGCGCCGAGGGCTTATGTGGTGTAGTTTGCGTGTGTCAGCCAGTCCTTGACGACATTGGAGTCTGGAGACCTGCAGGATTTTTCAGTCACTTCATAATTTATTCCCACGTTCTACCGCACAACACTGAACCCAGCCCTGTCACGCCAGCAATGCGTCGCATGAAATGCATTGTTTGTGAAAAGACATTAGTGACGAACCATAACTGAAATGATCGCCATCGAACGGACGAAAGGATATATAATTCAGAGTCCTCAACTAACTATTTCCAATAGAAATTAGATACTTTGTTGACAGACATGAATTGGTGACCTGTAAGTCACCTCGTCAACAAATGAACAGAGTTTATCATTTTGCTTCAAACTTTTAAAATGATGGTCTAGATGAAACCAGATTGATTGTTGAATGAAGGTTCACAAAGAGATTTATGCGGGGCTTATGTATAAGTTACCAAGTCTTTTGTCTGGTTTTAAATATATTGACTTCGAATCTGAAGTTCGAGCCTGACGGACAATACGATTTTCAAATAGTATTTCAATATTTTCTTTGAGTCATAGTTTCTAAATAAAAGATATGTTTATCCACAATGTACTTCATCCATAGTAAGCAAGCCGAAAGGCGTAGTTACCCCAACTGAAAGCTCTGCAGGCAGTGAATGTGTGGCGGTTAACTGATAAACTGAGTGGTTCAAAACATTTTCTGTGTGAGGAGCCAACCTATCCTTCACTAGTGTCGATTCATAACTCCGATCGGCGTTCAGCGTCAGCTTGAGCCATTTATGTATTTTTTCATTGCATGTCATTCATGTTTTAATTTTCGAATGCCATGAGGGTGTTGAAGCGTCCACTGCAACGCTGCGTGTTCGTTCGCCCGTTTTGCCAAAGCTAGTTCGCCTTGTCCGCTCTCCGCGCCGGCTGCGAGATGCCTGCGGTGGTAGACTAGCCCGGCGGGCTCCTCTGCCCGCGGTACAGTCTACCTGCCAGTGGGCGCTTTACACCAGCACTGCAGTCGGACTCGCGCCGGGCAGGGATGGCGTAAGAAGTTCCTCTGCTCAGTGCTACAGGCCACGTCTGTTCTGCATTATTTATCTCACATAAAGTCAAGACACTTCGAAAAAAAATGTGTTAAAATCATAACTCTGCCGTTATTCCAGTCTAATAAAGCAACTTTTGAGAGTTCGATGCATTTCTCGCGCGGGTCCGTATTACTTTAAATCACACCATACGCTGTTGAGCCTCCTGAGTTCAATATCATTACCCTAGTTATTTCTTCTGATATTCATCGAATTCATCGATACAACGTTTCCTTGAAGCCACAATTCTCAGTATTGATTTGCCTTCTTCGACGATTTATGTCGTATCGTGAAACATTGAAACATCGACAAAAAGACGAGCGCCTCGTTAAAAATCAGCACACACCACAGCTCGGACAGCCCAGCGCTAAAAGATTTCGCTGATGGAAGTTTGATGTGCACAATTGGCAGCCTGTGACCGCTCCAATACGTCGGCGTAATGGTAAACAAGCCGCCATCAGATCTCGGATCTGCCATCAGAAGGATCGGAATGAGTCTGACTTCGGCCTCTCTCCAATTGGAACGAGTCGCCTGTCCACCGAACCAATGAAACCCAGGAGAACTTCACGCAGCATAAGACTGAGCGCAGCTATACTTATGTGGACTGAATCACTCTACTAACCACATAGAAATTATCAAAAGAGCTGCTGAACTAAAATACATTGGTCCAGTGGATGGCTTTATCATGCTAAGACAATGATGTAGTTAGCCTGATGGTTGGATTGATTTCCGAATTAGCCGTAGTTAATGCAACTACGCCTAACGAAGGGCTACTTACCGCTCTTGAATCGACCGTCTTACGTGACGAAGTCGGATTAGAGCTAATAGTGGACGATTGCGTCAGACAGCCGACGCTGGTGCAGCCGTAATTTGCAGTCGGTATAAAAGTTCTCGGCTGAACCGGACTCTAGAGAAGCTCCGGTTACCTTGGTACCCCAGTGTTCATCGAGCCGCGGCGCAACTGTTCCAGTCTGATCTAATCACCAGTCGAGCGGGGTCGATCGCCCACCGAGGGGTTATTGCGTTATCATCAACGAAATAGGGGACCGTGCGGCGCAGCAACTGGCTGGGTGATTATGACATGTATCTAAACGTCCTTGGACTTGATACACACATAACACACCTACGCTGCCAGTGTGGATAAATATAGATCAGTCTTGTTCATTTTTTACGAATGAAATAGCATCAATCCTCTGCTATTAACGTCTGACGAAATGTTATTATTTACTTCCCCAGGTAAATGATTATGTTTCGTTGTAGTTTCGGGCCACACTGAAGGAAGCAATTACTAAAAAAAAAAAGGAATATTTCGGCTTTATTGAGTTGCCTTGTTTACTGGAATTGGATTTGGTTTTTAATCATTGTTTCCCCCAGTGTTCTCCGAAATTAAAACGGACCATATAGTCAATTCTCTGTTCAATGTCATACATGGTTCAGAGGCTGACTGTCAACTCAGAAATATTAGAGGGTCAATCTGAATTTTGACTTTATATCCTAGCCTTGCTAGAATAATGGTTTAGCCTTGACGTCTCAGTGTTTCAAGTATTTAAAACAAAAATAATCCATTTATTTTCATGAGCACCCAGATCAGTTTACTACTTATTCATCAGCAAAAATAATATTTGAGCAAAAACAATCCAGAGCTTTTAATCCAGTTACTTGTTACTTTTCAACCATACGAATAACTGCAGTAAATGCCTGCCGGCAAACGTGTCTACGCTTATATAAGCTTCAGTATTTATCCCTCGTCGAGATTGCATCAGAACACGTTCGCTTTCACAATATCGTTGGCCGGGATTTCATTCGACAGCAAAAGTCTCCCTCTAAAACTGAGTTACTTTAACTGCATTGCACCACTGAGCCCGCATCTGCTCGCTAGAATGGAGAAGGCTGCGGCGAAGTTGGCGCAGCAGCATTGAAACGACATGGCTGCGGGCGCCGAATTCGGCGCAGATGGACCGATCACGGGTGGCAGAGGAGAAAGAGGAAAGGCTGGGTCGGCGACCTTAGCTGAGAAATGGAGCAGCATTGAAACAAAGAGAGAATGGGGAGGGGAAGAGAGGGGGGAGAGAGAGAGAGGGAGAGAGAGAGAGAGGGAGAGGGAGAGAGAGAGAGAGGATATGGACAGAGATAGAGTGAGAGATTTTCAGGGAGTAGTAGAGGAAAGAGAGAAACAGAGGGTAGAAAGAAGCGCGTAATTCATCTTTCAGCAAAGGAACGGAGCGGCGTTTGATACGAGTTTAAATGGCAATATGAACGAAAATTTCTAGTGACCACTGATTTGTGAACCATGAATGTCACAACTTTAACAGCACACTAAGCATACATCAAAGACTCATGTAAACCGCACACAGGGGTCCCTGAGTCCACCACTTTAGCTCATCGATCACACCCACGTCGTCGCCATAAAACAGCTCACCGTTCAGAGCCACCGCAGAGAGCGGAGCTGCGCGGCGACATTTGCGCCGCGCCAACGCGCCAGTATCGCCACGTGGGCGGTCGGCGCCGCGCTCCAGTTACGTTGTTAGCGCCTCGCCGGCCGGCGATCGTCCGGTAAGGTCATTTGATGACCTCTGCTCACCATAAAACCGTCCGAAAAGAGCCGGCGACGTTCATTGAACGCCGCTAACCAGGTTGCCCGCAAGTGGTATGACATGTAATGGGACGCTGAACGAATGAAACCGACATACAGCGGGGCGGAGAGGAGAGTCCAGTGGGTAGTAAAACGGGATGGAAAGAGGCAGATGTGTTTTAGTGGCACTTCGGTCAACAGACAGTTGATATGAAAAAGAGCACGTGGCTAGAAGGCGGACACAAACATCACTTACCATTTTCTTCAGCTACGACTGTAAAAATCGCATGAATCACGTCATGATTTATGGCATGCATTATGTCGAGCCTTTAGTAGATATTCATTGCCAGCTGTTGCGCCTCCGATGACGTCACGCGGTGGTCTGGCGACTCGCCTGTTTTTGGGCCGGCGGAGCGCTGGACAGCAGAGCTGGCACCGACAGCTGCACACGCTGGTCAGGTCACTCGGAGACGACCGCTGGTCCGGCGAGAAGATCACCGATCCGTTGGCGGTGATGACGTCACCCTCTAACCGCACCGTCTCCTGTGCCAACTGGAACACAGATACACGTCATGGATTCAGGTGTGACGTCATACAGTACTGGATAAAACACACACACAGTGGAGATAACGGGGTGAATTAGAATGAGTGAGGGAGTTGGCTTCTGTTCGTTTTGGTTTATATTTCGTTTCGACGATTTTACTCTGAATATCGCCACAAAAAGCACATCTTGACCAAACATGCATTCATATTACTGTAGGTATTTTATCAAAGCCATATTAAGTCGGTTTAATGACATTGAGTTATCAACGTTCCAATTTCACCTGCAGCATTTTTTACGACATTTTTCACTCCATAGCTGCGGCATCAGAGGCCGCTGAGCTACGGCCTATAGCCGGCGATGATTTCGACAGCTCACTTCAATAGTGCTCAGAGCTGACGCAGATGAAAACACAGGTGAATGGCGACACCATAAATCACTGTGCGCCGGGGCGGCCGTCTATTTCGGGTGGCGGCGGGCAGCGATAAATTAGAGCCCGGCCGCCTCCGCGGGCCGCTCGCGGGGGCGGTCACCCGTGATGACCCGTAGATGCCGACACGAAGCGTCCCAGTGACGCCCTCCGCTTTCGCCCGAGCGTACGATGACGTCGTGAGGGTCCGGTTCGGGAGAAGTAACGTTATCAGGGCCGTCATATCGTGCGCTGTTCGCAGTGACGCGAGCAGTTCCAGCAACCCAGCTGGCTGAATAGGGCACGCCGCGCAATGGGCTGTCGACAGGCCACTTAGAACGCTATAGCAGTTTAAACGTGCCAGAATACTCGAAGTTTTCATTTGGCAGCACTCTTACTATCTCTGATAGGACGCTGGCATAGTTTGGGGGTTTGGGTTTTCCCTTTGTGAACGAAGCATCCAGAATGTCGACCTTAGGCTTAGTAGTCAGTGGCTGGCGAATGCACAGAAAATAATAAAATAAATAAAGCGTATGGATCGGATTTCCCTTTGAACGTTATGAAGCAATATCCTACAGATGTTCATTGTTCAATGTTCATATTGAAGGATCTTTTTCGCGCAAAAGAAATGAATTTCTGCTGAGTTTAAATGTTCCTTATGTCTTCTTACTAGTTTATTGCTGTAACTCACAGCTTCTCAGAACGCCGAATATCTATCGCTGAATGACAGTGCACCAAAAAGTATGCAGGATTTGATATATGTAGTTCGTTTCATGCAGAAAGACGAAGAAATGGACAAAGATGCAGGTTAATGAGACACTTATATACTTACTAGGCACGTTGAGTGAGCGCCACTTTGTGAATGAAATCAACATGTTTTGAACCAAACATGGAGATTGCAAAAACAAACATAAACTCCGGTAAAGACCTGCGCGAAGCGAAAAGCTTCCCATCTATTCAGCAGTCATTATCAGTTACCACTATCAAAGATATCATCCTCATGATAAAGAGCACTCAACAGGATGAGAGACGAGGTGCTGGTGGGAAACACCATCTGAGCTAGAGAACGATCTCCAGCGGGTCATTCTGTCCCTTCAGAGGTGGCTGGGACTGTCCCGGCCCTGACGACAGCCGCTACTGACGGGTTCGTTAGCTGTGCTGTCCGTCAGGCAGTGTCGATAGTGTCTCACCGCCCCAGACGAGTGATTGTGTCTCGGTCCGATCATAGCTCCCTGGACACCGAGCTGAGATGAGCACTGCTGCTGGCGGCATGGCACGGCCCTATACCAGGGATTCCCGACTGGTTTGTCATTACATTCCTGCGTCATTGGGCACCACTGCCCGGCCATCTCGCCTCCTTTGTGTTGACCACTGAACTCTATAATGTGGAATGCGCATCGGCCGCCAGATGGTGTCCAACGGTGCCGCCATGTTGCGCAGACCAGGAAGCGGCCGCCGCCTGTGTTGGGGAATAGGGAATTCGGGACCTCGATTTACGTTTGCGGTCGCTGCATGCGTTACGTTCAAGCTATGTGGACACGGAACCCGGCATCTTACGCAGAATTGAGTGGAGAACAAGATGGAATCCTAAAAAAATCCTCAGATACAAGGAACTAATACGTTAAACCCTTATAAGTCAATGGGGAAATATGAAAATTGCTATATTTGCGCCGAGAATGATCTGAAACTATCTCAAGCATATAGAATCATGATTTCATGCACTCCTTGCAAGGTTCTATGCTTCATATTTGCATTGTTGCCCTTGCGTGACGTCATTTGTGACGTCACAAGTGTCACAAGTTTTCTTCAATAACTCCCGATCAAATTGAGCTAGCGAGTCGGGAAAGCCACCAATGGACTCAGGAAGACCTGCCGAATCGAATGATATGCGACATGACTTCTTTCGACCAACTTCGTGACCTGGGGGTGCTGACCTGACCTTGACCTGAGGTCAACACCCTAAGTTGACCTGACCCGAACAAAAAGTATATCACTCGATGCGCCTGAGCTAGCTGAACACGATGGTGCCAAAATCGCGGCTCTACGGCCATTTTTGGCGAAGTTATTAACCAAAAACCGAACCCGTGCCTTAGATCACTTGACCTGACCTCAGAGGTCACCGGTTGACCTGAGACCTTTACAGCGGGTTCCTACCAGTCATTCTGCATTATACTTTGCCGCATACGACCACTTTACCGCTTAATTCTAGTTTAATTAGCGGCGCATTAGCGAGGTGGGTTCAATCAACCCCCTCGGCCGGGGCAAATGTAGGTCCGGCGAGTGAATTTGAGGAATTCTGAAGATACGATCGTGTTCCCCATTCAATTCTGCGTAAGATGCCGGGTTCCGTATCTACGTAACTTGAACGTAACGGATGCGGCGGCCGCAAACGTAAATCGAGGTCCCGAATTCCCTATTCCTCAACACAGGCGGCAGCCGGTTCCTGGTCTGCGCAATATGGCCGCCACCGTTAGACACTACGGCCAATAGGGTTGAAGCGGCAGTGCTCCCCTGTGGTGTTGACGCACCTCTTTGTGGGGATTCGTACTGCGATAACCACGTTTCGAGTAATTTCGGTTATTTTTATCACAATTTAGTGGTCAAATACATACTTACTTTTTACGATGGATTTCAGGGATCAAATCCATACGCTTTATCATCACACAACTGGGGAAAACTAATTACAGATAATCTAGTTCTGAGGAGATGCGTACATATATTGACAAATCACACCCAGCGCGGAGTTGTGGCTGTATTATATCTGGAGCGGAATGGATGATCCGGCATTTCCGCTGGCGGAGACTAAACGGTCTCATGATAAATCGTTCCGACACTTCCACGGGCTTAGAAAGGAATTTTAGCGCCAAAGTAGCGGTCATGGTCAAAGTTCGACGACTGTACTCAACATTGCCATAATGTGGGATAGATGGTGTCACGTTCGGCGAAGTAATTGCTACTCTGACGGGCCGTTCGGAGACGATAAGTTTGATAAGATTGGATAGTGTTGTAGCAAGACACATTGGACAATATCGTGCCCATAAAGATGCCAGTTTTAAATTAGCATGGTGGTCGGACGGGACATATTTAGGGCAATATTTAACAGCGCTGGGCGATGCTGAACACAAAATAACAACGATAAAACATCATAAGTGGAGGGGTGAGCAAACTGAGCCTTTTTCAATAACGCTGATACACTCTGGGGTAAAGACCGGTTACACCAGTCAGAAAGTGAAGTAGATTCGGTGTGGCCAAACTAGCACCTGGTAACAAATTCCCAGTGCTCATTCGGACAGCTGATGCTCGGCAAGCTACTTCTTAGTAAATTGTCATGCTGACAGCTACATTTATCAGAAAATTGATTTTCAGATGTTTGATAATTATCGGATGTTTCCAGTTTTAGAGAAGCTAGGATGTCGCCAGAAGCTATGGAGAATTGTTTCCAATAGCGAAATCATGGAGTAGAACCAAAAGGCATTGCTAGATAAGCAATCGGCAATCGATAAAGCATAATCTTCAAGTGAGTTTGGGGTATCGATACAGAAATCGTATCTAGCGTTGACAGCGAAACATGCATTTATCATCAGAGGCATGCTACCGGGTGCTGATAGTTCCTTTTTTTGTGTGTGTTACATTCTCGCTCCACCTGGTTCCTAATTCCCTCAGCAGATGTGTCACACTTGGGCGAAACGTTATTCAGGCTGGCTCGTTATGTTTCGCCCTCATTCACCTCAAAGCTGCAAGTCATGATCCAAATCACGGTGAAAAATTGTCGCCAGATGTATGTCTACTCTAACACCTGTTAGAGCGTGGAAGTCAACACGCGACATATCTAGGTGAGGCTGACACGGCGCCTGGCCACACGTCTAGCGAAGTAGAGTGATGTCATTCCACAGTTGAAGGGCCGAAACCCTTCAGTGGTCTCTTGATATTTAAATATGTGGGAGCTAACAAGTTCTTCGCCTAAAATATTGTTGGAACTTCTGAGAGAGCGCAAAAAATCTTCATATTCTTAAGTACTGATAAGATACCAAGAGTTCAAAGGCATAGAAATAGACCAAAGCAATATCTAACTGTGTTTAACATATTTATTGATTACCTGCTTTCGACATCAAATTATTATGCCATGTATGCAAACCTTTCAGGAGTCTGTACTGTGATGACTTATGTCGATACTTCCAAGCAAAACGATTTCACCAGATTTCTGCTGGGTAAATGATCGTTTGATGCTAAACAGGACGCTCTATACTCGATGCCACAGGAAAGTGTGAAAAGTTTTATCGTTTACCCACCATAAGTTCTAAGAAGCTGATGTACATTTGATGAAAGGAGAGCTCTATAGCATTAGCACCTAGCCTTAGATCGCTCCATTAGCCTATCCCACTTCTCGAAAGCAAGTGTAACGCTCTAAAATTCCATTAGCAAATAAAACCAGTAAAACGCCTTTTGGGCGAAGAACGAGCGAGCGAGATAGTGAGCCCTGCACGTGCGGAAGGGCGAGAGGGTACTTCCAACGGGCTTGTGCAAAGCACCCTTCTAACCGGCCGCTAGCGGTGTGCCAAATTTGAACGCAATCGGCCCGGCCGTTCCTGAGATCTGGAAGCGGCATTCTGCACGTGCGCACGTGCAAAGGGGGTCCAAACTCCAAACTGACTTTTGCACGGCACCCTACAAACTGGTCCCCAACCGTGTACCAAATTTGAACGCAATCGGCCCAGCCGTTCTCGAGATCTGGGAGCGCCCCCTGCACGTGCGTACGTGCAGTAGCACGCCAACCTTAACACATGCAGATGAATTATCTGATGGAGACCTAACTGTGTACCGAGTTTCAATTCAATCGGCCCAACCGTTGTGCCGTTATTGAGGTTGCAATTTTGGGGGTTCTTAAAAAATGTCCAACTTTACCACGCGCCACGTGCGGTGGTTGGCAAGAACGCATGGTGGCCATCACACCACAGAACTTTTACGTCCAAGTGACATTCAGTAAAGAAGACCGCTTGTCAATCGGATGTCCCGTTCCTAAGATATTAGCTTTTGAAAAGCGTACCACGGCCGCTCATACTCAGGATTTTCCCTTAATTCAGTAAGAACTCGCTCGCTCGCTGCGCTCGCTCGCTCGTAACAATGTTTTATTTTGCTCAGTTTAAAAGTGGCTGCAGTATTATGTCACACAGCTCGCTTATACTCGTATCAACAAACTCGTGTGAATAAGCAGAACGTTGAAAGTCGCCAAGTGTAAAGTGAGCAATTTACACCAAGGACTACGAATTGACTTTATCGGCACTTCTTTACAAAGTCCCAACCAGCAATTCAGCTATCAAGCAGCAGTGTGTTTGTAAAGATGGCACACCATTTGCCGAGACAGGCCTCCTTCAAGTCAATTGAATTCGGCCTCGTATCTAACCGATTACGGTCAGCACGATTGGGCTGGAAGTTCAGCACGCTAGGGTGAACGTCCCTTCCACGCTAACAAAGGGAGGTGCAACGAACCCCTCAGCCACGTGACGGGACCGCAGGGTCTCTACGCTTCGCACCATCTATAGCAATGAGCATCGCTGAAGTGCAGCGTCATGTAATGTATATGTTTTGAAGACAGGGCTTATCAATAACACTCATCTGTCTGAAATGATAACGCGTCAAGGTCGTCATTCTGAGACAATAGTATGTGAAGGCCATTACATAAAAAACAGCTAAGAATATGTAAAAAGGAATCATATATAAAAAACTATAATGAAAAGAAGATACTCATCGAAAGCTACGCCTTTTAAAATGACTCATGTTCTTTTAATGTGGGTAAGGTCAGAGTTCATCAATTCAGTTTCTGATTTCATTTTAAGGACATTATTTAATATTTTAGAAAAAGTATAAATAACGAATCAAATCAGTTCAACTTCTTTTAGTACCAGGCGGCGCTTCTGTCCTGAATCCTTCGCGAAGGCAGAATCTTGCCTTAACCGAGTTCAACAGACCGCTCAAGTCTCGGTAAAGAAATTAAACTCGCCAACTTCCTCGGCAATGCGAGGCGGCTCGTCTCAGCTGTCTAGTGACCTTTTCGGGGCGCGCCTGCTGCTTCAAAGTGAAGACAACGCCAGTCACGGAGAATTAACGTGAGCCGGTGCGGAAACGGTTCGCCCGAACGGCTCTACCCTTCAAAGGCGCGCGAGACGACAGGCCGCAAAGGACGAGCTTTCGAGCCATGACATTCTGTCGGCTGGAGGCAGCTCGTGTAAGTCGATGTTCCTCCAATTGCGGTTCAGTTGAAACGTTCATGAAAAGCAAACTTAACAGTGCACAAACTTGAAATGTTTACAAAAACAAGTGTCACATATGACAACGTACCGAATAAATGCGGTGAATTTTGTGTCAGTGGTCGTCGCAATTAATATCCCATGTTTATCCACAGGTTTATGTACGGAGAACTAATGTTGAATAGGAGGTTTCCTCTTCTGACCCCTTCCAGCACTCCTATCCCGGCACTAGCTTACAGCCATTGTATGCCCCCGCCCCCTTTCCTCTCCCGCCGCCTCCCGTTGCTCACCTGGAGAGCCTCTGCCTCGTCTCGCTTCTCGTCTTCCGTGTTCATGGTGACGAACCGCAGCACGAGCAGGTTCAGACTGGCCGCCACGATCGCCAGCCCAAACAGGATGAACACCAGCGCGAACGCCACGTAGTCGGGCCTCGTGTTGAGCGCGTTGTCCTGCTGCAGTGACACCATGTCGCCGAAGCCTATGGTGGTGAGCGTGATGAAGCAGTAGTAGACCGAGTCGAAGTACGTCCAGCCCTCCTCGCGTGAGAAGGCGGCCGCTCCGCCCGTGATGACCAGCACGCTGAGCGTGAACACGACACAGATGAGGTTCAGTTCGGAGGCCTCCTGGGAGGAGCACTTGAGCAGCCTCTTCACGGCGCGGATGACGATCGAGCTGGCGCGGTTGACGCGGTCGCCGATGCTCTGGAACATGACCAGGCCTAGCGGAATGCCGACCAGGGCGTAGCACATGGTGAACACCTTGCCGCCCACAGTTCGGGGCGTGGAGTGGCCGTACCCTGTCGGAGAGAGGAGAGCAGGTCAGTTGTGTATCACTATCGGGAGGATAGAGAGAGAGAGAGAGAGAGAGAGAGAGAGAGAGAGAGAGAGAGAGAGAGAGAGAGAGAGAGAGAGAGAGAGAGAGAGAGAGAGAGAGAGAGAGAGAGAGAGAGAAAGGGGGAGAGAGAGCGAGAGAGAGAGAGAGGGAAAGAGAGAGAGATAGGGAGACAGACCAAAAGACTGCAAGTTTCTTCAGAAAGACGGAGAGTAGACAATGTTACCTACTGGAATTAATCATACAAAGATATAAGACCGAAATAAACCTTACTTCAATATGAAAAAATAACGAGGCCATAAGACTCAAAGGCAAAGTAACTTCTCAAAAGCTTTCCGTTCAATCTACTGATCTGTATGTTCCCTCTCTGCATATCTTTTACAATCCATATCACGTACGGACGTGGCTTTGAATTTCAACTAGAGCCAGCGCTGCGCCTCATCTCTAGCCTGGGATATAACCGCCCCCGCCTTTCCATCCTACCAGCCCCAGCACTTGCCAGGCCCAGTCTACTAACAACAAATGAGCCGCCATCAGGGTACTCCAATTCCGGCGTGACTCGCCATCGCATACAAGTGACAGGGTGCTCGCTAGGCCAGTGATGTCATTAATCCGTGGCGTCCCGGCTCGAGTCGGAGGCACTCACCGGGGCTTCAGCGTAGGGGCGGGGTGTGAATGGACCGACGCCACGGGGGGGGGGGGATGTTTGACATAGGTGGGCATCAGCAAGGACAAAGCCCTACCTGTGCTGGAGCTTCGGTCGTAAAAGGAGCAAACATTGGCAAAGATCTGTCAACATCGGAGACGATCGCTAAGAAACCATGTCAGATGCGCGCAATGTTTACTCGCAGTTAGCGTTTTTTTTTTTGTAAGCGTGAATTACTTGAAGACTTAAATTTGTCTGCGCATTTGTAAAAAAAAAAACAATGCGTGAAACAAACCTTTAACTTAAACATACGGATATATCCAATCGAATCAAAAGTATTATGAGCCGCAGAAAAGGCAGGACGGTGCCGAAAGGCCTTTTGCGGTACCGAAAAAGGCGACTAAGCAATCTCTCAATAACTTATGTTCCAAGTTTAAATGAGTTTTGCAGGTGAGAAAGCCGCTCCTTCTATATAAAATAAATACCACGCATTGCAAAGAGCTGTTTTCGGAATGTTTAAGCAGCAATTAAAATTCCCATCTCCTGCTTATCAAATTAAAACTCCCTTAAATTCTTTAAAGTTGAATAAGTCTTCAAATCTACCACTTCTCGCCGCCTTCCCTAGTTTAACAATAGTCGTTTGAATTTGATAATGGAAAGCCTGCGTTTTCAATCTACCTGTTTTTCAGACCTGGAAGCTTATAAAAGTCGAACTTCCATCGTATTTTAAAATGTTATAGTAATGCATGTGGCACGAGAGCACGTCCCACGGTCAGCACTCATCACTTGATAGCAGCTTTGTACGTTGCGGCCAGGGGCGCAAATTTGTGGTCATTCAGGTGTGATATAGGTACTTGCATATACGGAATATCATTTTACGTTAATGTGGACCCACAAGGCTCTACGCATACCACTGTCTGGCTCGCTCCAACTACCGAAACTCCTGTGTTGTGCTGTCTAACTACCGAAACTCCTGTGTTGTGCTGCCATTCCCTGAGGAGAACCAGAGCCTCCGCGAGCGTCCAGTCCCGCTGATTGCGTAACGCCAAGAATCATTAATATTCTGACCGTGGAGAAAAGCCCGGAATAGTAATGGACATTGGGGAGTATCCCGTCCGAAATTCCTGCCAGGCGAGGCTGGAAAATCCGACTATAATAGTCGGGCGTTTACTACAGCTGGGAGTTTTAACGATGGCCGGCGTGGATCACATGTTTTTACATTATGTAATCATATGTGATCTTTTGACGCGTTGCATGATTTCAATAATACTTAATTAATGATAATGACGAAATCGAGGGCGTCAACATCAACAACAGTTTGCCTGTCAGGGACAAAACCGATTAGAGCTTAGTAATCATTTATACAATGAACAGTCGCAAACGAAAATAAGTACCTAATTCAATTGGCGCAGCGCTCTAAAATGCTTTTCCAATTTTCTTCATCTTCTACCAAATCCAATCAACTTCAATAGTTTGTGGTTTAAAGTACCGTTAGTACTTGGTAGATAAAATTTGTAGTTACTCTATTACCGATGAAATAGTACATCAGCATACGAATTGTTGACCTTGGTTGGATGAGAACATTGTTTGGAACAGGGCTTGAATTACTTCAGTGACCATAACAGGGCTGGATTTAATCAGAGTAATGTAGGCAGCCTATCCACAGGCATTGTCACAGTTCATTTGTGAAATTCCTGACGGAGATAAGCGTAACTCAGCGTTGACTCCATCGCGGTATTGGGAGCAATGGATTTAGGACATTGGCCCGCAGCATCAAGCTCTCCCGGCAGAAATTTTCGGTCGCAGAATACTGAGAGCTGTGACGCGCCAAACTTGTAGATTTCTCAGAACCCAAAGAGCTCGTCCCCTGGCACAGTTTGACATTTGTTTCTCTTCCGATGGTCGAGCAAGCACAACCGAGTCCACGGCACGAGGACTTTCCCTGGCGCCGACACTGAGCACCTCCCCATCCCTCCCACCCGGTCAGCACACGTGCCCCGAGTGCGCGCTCGAGCGTCCCTCCCAATCCGGACAATCCGATCTCTGGGCCGTCTCCGGAACGGCGTCCACTGGGAAATCCACGTGGACGGTCGTCGACACGCTCAGGGCTCGTTGGGAGCCCCGCGGCCCACCGGTGCGGCTCGGCGCGCGTGCGCCGCGTTTGTCTCAATCTGCCGATGTGGCGTGCAGTGGCAGCGCGCTGTCAGAAGGTGTCGGTCTACTGTCAGGTGACTGTCATCCCGACCCAGCGTTATAATTTGTCACACTCACACAACTTCCACCAGATGGGTAAATAATGGATTTGTGTGTGTAGACAAACATTACACGCAAGCCCGAGATCAAGGCCTGTTGTACCGAATCCGAGCGAAACCAGCGTTCCGATGTAAATAACATCATAAATATAAACAAGCTTGCTTCAGAGCTCTGTGGCGAGCGCCTGAAAGGAGGCAGGATTCGAGACGAACGGCAAAGAAGAAAATACGACGATGTAGAAGGGACATTTGTGGAGAAAAACGACGCTGAATTTAAACTGTTTGATACGAGCTGTTTCGAAGCTCGATTGCAAGCTACGTTCTTTCCAGAAATGTGACCCGGCGTCGTTTTATTTGAGCGGCATTTAAACGCTAGCTCCGGCGTCTCCTTTGAAAGTCTGACGTTGGTGTGCTCTGATATTTATATCGTATTATGATTCATGGAATGCGAAATAGACTCTTTGATGGATAGCCGTCGAATTTTAATAGCTGATTTCTCTTCACCCGTCAAGATATGCAAAACACCGAGCAATATGAATTGTTGAAATAACTGCGCATGTGACCGCAACATGCATATTCCATTGAAATTTGGCTGTAGAGCTTAGTTAGGAAGTGAATTGCAGGAATTACTGGTTAGACTAAATTAATTTCCCTTATGATACCAAAACAAACGATTTATATACCACGGTGCGTGCCATGCATCGCAAATTTCATGTCTGCACTGTTGCCAAAGATGACCACCTCTGAGACAACGTTTCCTACTTTATCGACTTTAGGCTTAAAAGCTTTGCATTTTTAGTGAGACAAGGTCCCATTTAATATCTGGCAGTACTCAGCTGAGCACCAAATGGACATAATTCCAGTAATGGACGGCCATCGTAGCTTTCAGCTCAGCACTCGCGGGGCTGAGTGCAGCGAATGCGAAGTAAATTGCCTTTTGATTTTTTTCGTTTGAACTGTTATAAGATTCATTTGTTTTGAACGAGTGGTGGGACTTTGCTTTAAAAAGCATTCTAGAATTGTTAATGCACAGATAAGAGTAGTTCTATTGTTATCTGTGGTTCATGTTAACGTGAAGTGTTGATCGTATATGAGCCAGGTCTGGTAAACTAGCAAAAACAAGGATGCTGATTGCTGAACGCACCCACTTGATTTATGTGTAAAGTTCTTGGAAGATGCAAAGTAGCACATAACTCCTCACGAAGTTGAAATAAAATGCAACCAGAACTTGCACGTCAGTTTCAAACTGCAATAAAGCTGTGATGGGCCTCATTGAATCTGTTAGAACACCACAGGGGAATAGCAATGAACATATGTGGAGATATGGTTTCAACGTATACCTGCACCCCGTGTAGTTCATTAGTTAGATACCATTTGTGCGCTTTTTATTCATGCTAGCTTGTTCAAAGATTTCATAAATGAAGAGTGAATTGCGTTGGAAAGCATCATTGTTGAGGGACACGATTTTGTGTCAGGATAATGAAATATCACTCGGCTTGATAGAGCTTATTTCTTAGGTCCTGGAAGCATAAACCAATTTACAACTTTTGTTTAATCCCACAATGCTGATGTTACCCACAATACCATGGAAACATGCGCAGGTGCCCATCCTAGCAGCACAGTAGCAAACACGGTAGCAGAGTAGGATTGACCAATGAAGAAAATCTTATTGGTAACAAGAGCTTACTCCATTGCTCTTTTGGAACAAACTTTTTCATTTTGGTGGTATTATGTTTGCCTAAAATCTCAAAACTGCAATGATCCGTTAGATCCATCTCACGCTCGCAAAGGGTAGGTGTTGTGAGCGTCATCCTGACCATGGATCATCAGACAGTGGAACAGCTATCAACACTGGTGACTGCTGAACACTTACCGATAGTGGTGAGGACGGTAATGGCATAGTAGAAGGCGCCGGCGAACTTCCACTGGTTGCCGGCCTTGAAGGGCACCGACTTGGTCACCACCGTCTCCATGATGCTGTAGTCGCTGTCGGAGATGTTGTACTTGCCGCGGATCATCGAGCTCATGTCTGTCGGACAGAGAGAGAACAATAGAGCGTCGGTGAAAACCGCCGACCGCTGGAGACGGCGAGACAATGGCCCAACTAATGGCACCGGCTTCCGAACCATAATGAGCCGACGGAAACCGGCCCGTGTGGCGCCGTGGGGTATTTACAGCGGGAGGGACACACAAACGGACACATGAAACGGAGCAGAACACCCAGGCGGGTGCTGTTTGAAGTCACTTAGTCACAAAGAAGCCAGTCAGTCAGCTCCTTAGTGACATAAAATGTCATGTGCAAAAGCATAAAAATATACGCTTCACGCATTGGTTAATACCCAGGTAGGTTCGAGCCTTTCAACCGGAAGTGCTTTTCATTCCACAAACGGCCCGTCACATCCCTCACATCCACCTCAGGGACGAGCGGCACGTGGAGCCCCTCCGGTCGACGATCCGCGCGGCGCCGATCAGCCGTCCGCCGTGACACGGTCGCCTGGCTCGGCTGTCGTCTGTCATTGCAGCCGGGCCCGTTTCCAATCAGTGGGCCGCCAATCATGCGTGGCTCGAGCGCCGGCGAGCTCCGCCGTGATTGAGGGATCCGGATCGCCGCTGCGCCGAGCCGGCGCCCCGCCCGGCAATACAGCCTCAGAGATGGGATCATAGATCAGATATCGCAACAGCCGCTCGGGGCGAGTTAACTACCGCGAGCCGCAGGGAACCCAACCGCAGGTCGGTGGGTCTCAGCATGTGGTTCATTCAGGAGGCACGTGCACTCTGCATTTCAAAAGTTGCTATGCTTTGTCCAGTGTGCGTTGCATTATAAGGGTAAGTTATTTATGCAAAAGAACGTTTGCGTCAAATACATATCGCACATTACCATATTTTATCACTGATGGTCGTTTAGGACCTGTGCAAGGTCATTTACAGGACGCCTGGTGCCTAGCGTCACATCGTTAGTGGCCATTAAGTTCAGGGAAGCCCGATGACTCTTCCGTAACCAAATTGCCGCTTAACGAGGCCGTGGCCCAGCTAAGTTTATGGCGCTGGGAAGTGGGAACGATGCGAGTTCGCTCGTCCTACCCATCATGGTTTCATGCCTCCCGAATCCAATCTTTTTTCAGATGAGACGTGACAAGTGCACGAAATCCAAATTACCTGAAAAAACCTTCTTATGGCCTCCATTCTAGGCGGGCCAGATCAACATATTTGTATTCCAGTAGATTTCCAGTTTCTCATATCCCTTCTGTATTTGTTTTACCCTCTCCTTAACCTTCCCTTACCCTCACCTCCTCTCTTTCTTTCAGTTTCTTTTTCCCTCACATTTTCTCTCTCCTTCACCGTGTCTTCTCTTCACCTTCTCCTCTTACTATTTTTCTCTGTCTCTCTCATCCGACCCGGCAGTGCGGTCTACCTACACACCGCACGGATCCAGGAGGTGCAAAAACCGGGAATACCAATGCACGGCGGCGCGGCGCGGCCGGTGCCGTCGGCGGCGACGGCCGGCCCAGCGCCTGCGGCTATTTTTAGCCGACCGGCCGTCGGTGGCGGCGGCCGAGCGTCGGCTCCGACTGCCGTCAGACGAGGTGGCCAGTCGGGGAGAGCGTCGGTGGCCAGTCGGGGAGAGCGTCGGCGGCGGCGGGCAGAGCGGCGGGGGCTAGCCGGCCCACACCGGCAGACAGACAGCGGGAGTGAAGCGGGTGTCGGACGACCGTAAAGGGAACCGTAAAACCACGCCGATTCCTTTCTAACTCATTGGTTGTCGTTAATGGCTGTTTGGGAGAGTTAGATGCATAAATAAATATAGTTTGTCTACCTCCTGGATTTATATTTTTATTGAAAGTGCCTTTGAAAGGCACTTAAAAGTCACTACGTAGTTCAAGTCCCGAGCAGTTATACTTTCACAGCCATCAATTTCAGGAAGTTCCCGTGCTTCACAGAATCACTAAGCCTCACCCAGAAATCCGCAATAAAACTGCTCGACCAGCGATTGGTATATGACCCCCCACCACCCTGTCACGGGCTCGACCTGGCCCACTCACGCTGGGTTGTGGAGGCTCCTCTAGGGCCCCTACGCCTATCGAGCTGAGCACAATAACCGACGTCCATCGGCCGTGTGGTTAAAGGTCACGAGGGTCACGTGCAGTTATGAGCTTGCTCATGTGCTCTGAACACCCGCTGTGGAGTTGTCTGTGTCGCTGCTTCAGTAGAAGATTGTGGCCACACTTCAGCGTTAGCGCCTAAGGCGTCCACATGATTTCAGGGGATGGAAGAAGATACACGGGTAATACTCAAGGTTGCAGCATAAAATAAAAGCATCGATTCGATTCTCGAAAAGCAATTAGTGCACTGAAATAAAAATGGGAATCAATTGATTACAACACTGAGGTTATCATGTCGCTTCCGGTACGAACTGTGCAAAAAAGCGCATCTAATTCACCCCTGAATGTATTTTTAAGCTATTATCCGTTTCACCTGGTATGCAAGGCAAGGCAAAGAAGAACTGATTTGGGCAATCACTATATAACCGTCCTGTAGCTGGTTCAGGTTACCCCCCCCCCTGCCCCCTGGACCTATTAGCAGGACTCTCATTATCGGGTCAGACTGCGACCTGCGACTCCGCGAGCTCCACGCCGTGCCGCCCGCAGCTGTGGCGTTTGGCCCGCCGCCATCGTCTGGCCTGGTAGACTGCGCCGGTTCGCTCGGCTGTATTGCGGCACAGCCTACCCATCTACACGCAACGAGGCCCGCGACTCTCCGTGCCGCCGTCGGCATATAGAGAGCGAAATTATACTGACACCCATTGAAAATATTAACTAAATTTACCACGAACTCCTAAAAAAACACTACATTTAGAAACTAAACAATCACAATAGCACGCTGTCGCATATTCGCAGAGAAATGCTTTTTTCATTGCTCCGCAGCAAGCAGCCACTGGCGTAGGCGTTTCCTGCGAAGCTGTGTGCTCGCCCCGGCACCGCCTTTCCATCAGTCGCACACACCCCATCCATTGGCCTGCGGTGGGATCGGCTCTCAGCGCCACAGCCAGCTCCCAGCCCACCCCTGGGGAGAACAATAGCCACCTTGCATTAATTCCTCCCGCACTCTCTCTCCCGCTCTGCCCTCTCCCTCTGCCCCGCGCTACCCTCTGTAACTTCCGTGCGGCACTAAGCTCTTACTGACTTATGCTGCTCTTACATTACTAAGCAGGCAACTCGACACAGGGATGTTGATAAAACCATAAGCCTGTCATGGAATGTAGTTGTGTCGTGGAATGGCTCGACACGTGGACGGAACGGGCGAGAGAGAAAAGGAATATATGGTCAGGTAAAGATGAAGATCGACAGAGAGAAAGAGAGAGAGAGAGAGAGAGAGAGAGAGAGAGAGAGAGAGAGAGAGAGAGAGAGGGGAGTTAATCAATACCTAGATTAAATGGCATAGCGATGCACCGTACTCAATGTGCGCGAGAGGAGAGAATCCACACCGGCTCCAACGCTCCTTTATTTCCGGGTGAGGCTCAACAAAGCTGCAGAGTCGGGACAGCGCGGCTTCTGACTCGTGCTGTGTGCAGCTTAGAGGCTGTCGCGCGGACCGGAAGCAGCCACTTCCGGCCGACATCCGGCCGGTGCTGGTGCGGTAAAACGTCTCCGCAGACGAAACGCCAGCTCGTTACAGTTGTGGAAAACTGAGCTGTGTGTCCGACGGGTCGAGTGAGCTGCTGTCCTACCCCTTCGAATGACGGGTATAACCTATTTTAGATTTATCATAGTTTAAGTTTTTAGCAGGTAGATGATCTTGGTTGAAGGTACGATATTTTCACTACTCGTGGCTTAATATTTTTTGTCAAAAACGGAATCCGTTCAAGCGGCATATCGCACCTTCATATGACACCAAACGTTTATATAGTGGAAATGAAAAAAAAAAATGATCGCACAATCAACAGCAGCAGCTGAATCACATTGATTGTTAACAAGGACGGAGTTGGTGAGCTGCTACTGTTGACTTTTATTTCTGGACATACCTAATTATTGTGCTTTAAACTGGAAGCAAAATGCACTTCTTATTAGAATATGTATACCTGTAGAAGAGTGAAGTTAAAAGAGCAGTCAACGATTACACGATTTTTCTTTTTTCATGCATTTGTAGAAAATTATGAAGCATAAGTGAAAATGAGTCAATGCCAAACACGACCTGCCATTAGTTGCTCAGAACATGTAAGCAATCAGGAAAGCGTGTTTAATCAGCGTCACACCTGTACCCTTGCTTTAAAACCACCTTCAGCGTCAGAGCAGCTAATCTAACCAGAGTAGTCACTTGGGAGCACTACCTTAGCTGTCCCCTGATCTCCATGCTTCCAGGTTATGGCCCAGCAACCTTAATTGGGTACTTCCTGCCATTCTAATTAAGTGCTTCCGCCATTCACCAAATCGTTTTGTTCCATGCACTGAACAAACCATAATATTTCTCATTTATTATTTGCTATAGGTTAATCGCACAAAGTTAAAGATATATTTTCTTTCTATTTCGATGTTGGTGAGAACTATGTGTCATTTTGTTAGCGAGGTTTTATCGTCGCAATTTGAGTGCAGACCATTGACCAATGGTCATCAAACACACAACTTCTATGGCCTCCTAAATATATCAGCAAACAGCCTTTTCAAGCGACCGCCGTCTATTCGTGCACCTATAACGTACTGGGACTCCCCGTGGGGTGACAGTGGGCAGTGGCATGGTGGGGTATTGTCCCACCGGGGCGGGGGCGGGGGCGGCCGGGCGCAGGTGTCGGCTTCTCGGTGACGCAATAGAGTCGCAGTATGTTTTTCCTGGCGAGCCAGTACCGCTAACACCCCCGGGCGGGAGGGGGAGAGGGAACCGTCGCGACGGAGGTCAGCGAGAAGAGGTGGGGACGATGGTGGCACCGGTGATGACAGTGTGGGTGAAAGGTGATGGGGAGAGAGCCGGTGACAGTGACCGGGGTGGTACAGGTGATGACAGTAAAGGTAAAAGGTGAAGGGGAGGGAACCGGTGACG